TAATAGATGTTTTAAGTATAGATTTTTAATATATCCAATCAATCATGTAGCTCTAATATTCTATCAATAGAAGATGAAAAGATATACGATAAAAAAAAGCTTCATCATGATCAACAACTTTGAAGCAGCAAAGAAAAAGGATTGAGATAAATGTTGAAGATATAGAAGTTGACAAACTTAGAGAGACAACAATAGATGCTTGATAAATAAAGAGAGATAGAAGTGAACAATAAAGTAATGGATGAAGGATGACGAGATGTATCCAAATTAGGTGGATCAACAAATTGAGGAGATGTGACTGTAACAGGAAGGTACAACAAATTATTAGATAAAGAATGAAACAAGACATTTAATATAGGATGGATAGAAAGATCAATTCATAAGGTTTGTTAGAATGTTGTGTATTTGAAAAATAAGAATTGAAATGAAAGACATTAAAGTGATTGATAGGTGTTGGAATAAATTTGGAAAAGACAATGGATTCTTTGTTGGTGGATTGATAAAATAAATCAATGTTGCCTTAATTGAAGTTGATGTCATGGTTGATTATAGTTTTTTTTTATAATGAGAGTCGTAGCACCAATATACTTTAAACTAATTATTATAGTAGCCAATAAAAATAGTGACAATGATCTTAGAACTTGTATTGTTATTTTTTGAAAACATGAATATATACAAGGCACCAAGAAGTACTAGGTGGAAGACAAAAACTTGTGTTGTTATTTTGAAATAAAAATGTTATAGAAATAAAACCACAAAGGTTGAAAAGATGAGATGAATATGTGGATGAAGATTTCGGAATGACAATGGTGGTGATTTTTGATGGCTCAAAAATTGTAGAAGTCAAATATATACTATAGAAAAGATAAGCCTAATATAAGATTATGTTTTTATATGTAATATAGTTGGTGTGGCCAATACGTCAATGCTAAAAGATTTTTGGAGATGATGTTGTAATATATGTTGTTTTGCTTAAAAATACACCAAGCACTTGGGTGTGGAAGGTGAAGTTGTGTTTTACAAATATCCAAGAAATCTTAATAGATTTCATCCATATAAGAAGAATGCAATTCAAATTTCAACCCAAAAGTACTTAAAGCCAATACAAAGTGCTCAAAAACACTCTTCTTAGTAACTTCAATTATATATAATCTCCAATTTCCTTATTAGTTTCATAATGAGATAATTTTGATTTTTCTTTACAAGCCCTAATCCTAGTCAATAAGCTTTGATGAGCTATAACTCCTAATTTGACTATCCAATTGATGCAAGATTTTGCATATAAATGCCACTATAATTTTTCTATATGCTTAGAAAAATTCAATCTAATGTAACTTACAAATTCTAAAAAAAGTCCAAAAAACCACATTGATGTCTCTTGACTGCCAACTTGAAAGTTGATATAGATGTTTCAATAGTAAGTTCTCCTTCTCCAATTCTTAATTTCAACTCAAAATCATATGTAGCTTGATCTTGAAGTCTTCTAATATCATGTCCAATTTCACCTTGATTTGACTAATAGATCTTCAAATATCATAGAAATCCTACCTTACTCTAAATTGTCAACTTTTGATACTTTCTTGTACTAAAATCCAAATATCTTCCAATTCCACTATTAAATTAATACAAAATATTATACAAACTTAGCACACCCAATTAACCAAGAATTGTCAGATTTTGAATTATAGATGTAACACCAATTGTACGAATTAATCGAGAGTCCTAGCCCTAATTGTATTGCATAAATTCTTAGTCACAAATACAAACCTTGACTTTGAACTAAAATTGCAAAGCCATTTCAAATCCTATGAAAACAAGCCTTATACTTTTAAAATAAGCTTGAATCTAGCCCAAAAATCCTAATTGCTAATCTTCAATTAAACCCCTACTTTATCCTAGGGGGGCATTTAGTGGCTAGAGGTCTGATTTCGATCTTGTCCCACAAATAGTTGACCCCTAGGTATCAATCCAACCTATTTAAGGGATTTTTTAGCTTGATCCTACCTTCAACTTAATCTTAGCATCAACCATATTAATTATTTATTTCTTCTATCATATTTTTATCAATTTATGGCCTTTTCAAGGTACTAAAAGAAATTCTATAATCTAGAAGGAAAAATTATTAATCAATATTTAATCTACTAGCTATTAAAACAAGAAAATAGACTAAGAGGCTTTTATATAAAAACCATGTTTAAATGTCTTAAATTACTATTGAATCAAGATGATTAAATATTCATTAAAATTTTATTTTTAATTATATTTTTACTATATAGTTGTATTACAACATGACCATGTAATCTCAGATGGTAAGAGATTGTTGAAAGAAGTTGTAAAAGAGACCTTGGACAGAAGTCTTGAATTAGAATCTAGTCTGTATAATAAATTAGATGAATCTTGAATTCTTTAAAAGATGATATTAAAAAAATTATGAAAATGAATAATATGACAAATTTTTTAAGTATGCATAACTACATAGCTATTATTGATCACCTTTCCAACAAAAAATAAATTTTGTTTGATAAATGGTATATAATAAATATTAAAAAAATCTTTTATTCTTAAAAAAAAATGAACTTTACTAGCTTTAGCAACTAGGAGCTTTGATTTCATTATTGTGGAAGCATTGGTTATAGTGGAAGGTACTGAAAAGTGAGATAAGTAGTGAGATTGATTGATGAAGTAGAAAACTAGCACTGGAATCAAAGAATGACAAAAGATCCTAAAAATGTAAGAGCATAGCAACTAGGTTAATCTTGTGGTTGTTTTTATTGTTATTGGATTTATTTTTTATTTTTTATTTATTTTTTGAAATTTTATTGTGTTCTAATACAACTATTAGATGAAACGAAAAAAGAATGATTATATTTGAAAGAACTTGATTGAAAACATTGTAGCAAATTATCTTAGAAGTATAAATAATAATCAAAGAGGTAGTAAAAATGGCAAGTGCTAATATTGCTTCTTTGCAAAATGGACTTCTAATTACTTTGTATGATTATAAATGATACAAAAAAAGTAAATAAAAAAATAAATAATATAAGAATTTTTAGGAATAAATTAAAAATAATTTCTTGTAAAAATTACCTTAAGAAATCAAAAATAAATATCCATAGAAGACCAATTGTGAACCATGATTGAAATTAGACCTCAAGGCACAAAAATATGTATCTATAATAATTTTGGGATTTTTTTGTATAATTAGAGAATAGAATCTTAAAGCTAACTAAAGCAAAGTTTTTGTATAGTAATTTGGACTTTTTTAAGTTTTTAATAACTTTGCAAAGACTTTGAAAAGTTAAGGTTATTTTAGCATAAAGTTCATTTTTTGAAAAATATAAAAGGTTTATACTTTGGAGAATTTTCGTAAGATTGGTAATTGATCTATGGGTGAAATTTTATATTATGTGATTATAATTGTGTACAATATGTGCTATAAGTTTGAGATTGATTAAATAGTTTATTTAAAGAGCATTGAAATTCAAATGTATTGAGGTCTTAAAAATTAGAGTTTAAAGGACTAGTAAGGATTTCTAAGATTTTTAGCAATTTTCTAATTGGATTGTGGAAAAAATTCATTTTCAACAACTACTAACAATCAATTTAATTAAAAATAAACTCAGATTAAAATCTAATCAGTGTATATATAAGAAACAAGTTTAATTTTAATCAAAATCTAATTTTGTTAAATAATTTTAAAAACTTTTAATTGATATAATTTCATAATTTAAAATATAATTCAAAAAAAAATCTATTAAGTTGTATGATATATAAATATAACATTTGCAATAAATTATTAAAAATATATAAGAATATATACAGATATATATATATATATATATATATATATATATATAAGGAATTATATATACAAATTTAATTACTTTTTTAATCAAAAATTTGATATACAATGATAAATAATACAATATAAACAAGTGCATATATATATATATATATATATATATATATATATATTTATATATATGTATTACTTATTGATAATGTATAAAATATATTATTTTTGTGAATAGAATAATTGATTAATTAAGTAATTTAATATCTACATTTAATATGCATATTTCTCTCTCTCTCTCTCTCTCTCTCTCTATATATATATATATATATATATATAATCATAATGTAGAAATAAAAGAAAAATAGAAGTATGGCTATATAAAAATTTAGGAAGGACTTAATGTATGTGCATAACCATAAGTAAGTTGTTATTATTTTGAAGTATATATATGTATATTTCATCATTTATTGATATAAAAACAATATTAAATAAAATTTGGTTCCAGAGATAAGTTCAAATTTTGTCTTAATAAATCCAAAGAGCACTTGCTATGTAACTTATAAAAGGATTTAGAAATTAAACAAAAATAATGTTTTTTTTTTTTTTAAAAAAAAGAACAACCATGTAGATTTATAAGTTATACAGAACAATTTAAAATTCTATCACTAATTCCATAGTAATTTTTTGAGATGAAAAAGAAAATCATCATTTTAAAATAATAGAGAGTAATGCTATGTTTTTGTAAAATTAAATTAAATTAATATTTTCAATACAATATAAACAGTTTTATAAAAATTTATCTTACATGTAATAATTTGTATTAAAAGTTGAAACTTAAGTAAGTCAATAATTTGAACAGATTTTTATTTGAAGTGTGCGAACTGAGTTTAGAGCAATTACATATTACTGACAAAGAGTTGTTTAAAACTAGATACTGAATAGGTCCAAAACATACACAAGGTTGTATCAAATCTATTATATGCATTAAATGCTTTTACTGAATCAAGTATTGTTCATTTTTATTTTCTAGAAGACATTATAACTAATAGATATGCTGTGATCTTAATGAGTAAATACTCTTTGGTTACAATGCATTTTAAAATTGTAAATCAAGTTATGTAAGAAAAATATTTCCTATCGTATTATGTACAACAAACTTTGGAGTATGATGTTTAGAAACTGCATTCACATGAAGAAGAGAATGTGAGCTGGGGTTCATGCTCCGCCCTCACAGATGGTGCTGGGGTTAGGAGCAGCTTGATTAAGCTAAGGCAAATTCAATACACAGATTGCTACGACAGAATTCTGTAGAGTAAAAAACATACCTCGGAGACTGAGGCAATACACTAAAATACACTACGTCATAGCAGCAAGATACGTCTATTCAAAGTTCCTCTTTGATAGATGCGTCTTCTGACTTAGCCTCTACCTTCTTGGGTTCTTTTTTCTTGGATGCCTTTTCTTGGGCTTTCTTTTCTGCGTGCATTTTGTCTAAAACTTCCTCTACAGGAGGATCTCCAGGCCGTCTGAATGCAGAATTCCCAAGCTTAAACTCGTAAGCCTCGTCTTGGCTCAACACAAAATCCTTCACCTGTAGCCACATGCATCGAGGAACGGGAGTGAGGTATTTGGAGATGTCCAGTGGACCGTCCTGGCAATTGTAATACTAAAATGCCAGGTTTCGGCACACCGAGTGGTGCCCTAAACCAACAGAAATCGACTTCTGCCCAGCCCCAGTCCAACAGCACGATCAACACGACAGAAAGCCTAAAAAACCTCTATGCCTTGGACGTGAGTTTCTACTCTACTCCAGGGACAGCGTCATAGGGAGAATGAGGAATGTTCAAAAGGACTGTATTTCTAGATGTATAATTGAATGTGATGTTACAAGCATGTACAGTAATTCCAACCGAGTCAAGTAATCCCTGCGCATACCTCTGTGGTGTCTTGTCCGTAGCTAAGAATGAACATGATTGTGCTTCGGTCCACGGCATAGATCTTTGCGTTGATTGAGCCTGTTTTCAACAAATCGGTCCACTTCTCCGCGATCCGAGTAGTTTCTTCCTGTGAACATGACCGAAAAAGAAACGAAAAACATTTGAACAACGAGTGAGTATTTAGATAAACCTGGCCAGAGTAACGCTTCTAACGTTGGTCGATCGAGGTTTTCAGAATAAGAGGAGCCAATGTAGGATTCAGAACTTCCAGAAAGCAAGCATGCACAAAAAAATAAAAAATAAAATCGAGAAGATAACCTACACTAATTATTCGCGATTCAACAAATCTCGAATGTCATGCCCAAAGCATTCAAAAACTTCCCCCTTCATGGTAAGTCACTGCAGTGTAAAGCAACCATCGAGAGGAATGCAGTAGAACTATTATCATGCAATCGGATCAATGAGATACAAAGACCAGGGGGACACAGCAAGAGGACAAGAGCAAGGTAGGAAGATAGATAGGGGTTTGCAATGCGTACCGGACTTCGCTGCACGCCGAGACGAAGCTTGACGAAACCCATGGACGGGCCTGTCTGGCGCTTCATCATTTCCAGCTGATACTTCTCGAGCTCCTGAGGATCTTCGGGCGGATCCGGAGGGGGATCAAACGGCACGGGCGACTCCTTAGCCTTACCCCATTCCTTCCACTCCTCATCCTCTTCGTTATCTTCCACATCGTCAAGCTCGTCAGGAATGTGAACCCTCGGTCCTGCCATCGCAACACTCAATCCTTCCACTGCGAGCAACGCCAACAACCCCAGGCACAGCCATAGCCTCTCGTTCCGGCTCATCGTCCCCACACCTCGAACTCCGCCCTCACATCACCAAAATCGATGCTGCAAAAGCCTCCGGATGCAGAAATGCGACGAGACTCAACTGCTCTGACACCCAGTTCGATCTAGCAAGCGCTGTCTACAGATTGTTGGATCTAAGGCGGTTCCAAGTCCAGAAACAACAACAATAGGAGCTGCTCTGAGCCATGTCAGTAGTGGAGCAGATCGGGGACAACGATGTTCCCAATGACGTTCTCGGCGTTTACGTGGTCTGGGAACCGCGGAAGGGTCTGGAATAAGCTGAATGAGTTCTTTGTGCAAAGAAAATAAAAATTTAAAAAGTAAATTTAGTGTATGAAAGACAAATTAAATTTATGGGTACTTATTTTCAAATTTATAGTGATTTAATTCGTTGCATTGTATTTTCTTACCAGTCAAAGTTGTACTTATTTCTGAGGTGAATACTTTAAATATTTACATATTTGACTGGATGATTGATATACAGTTTATACACTAAGAAAAAGTAAATAAGAACCTTACAATTCATAATACTTTATTTGAGTGAGATGTGACTAATGCTGTATTGTATACAAAAACGTTTGATTTGTGATTTGGCATACTATAAGATTATTCAATCCTATTGTCAAATTTTATTTGATAATTAGTTTTTCATTTCAGTGTTGACCACTCAAATATGACGCTTGAAAAGTTTCCATAACTGTGCTCTAATTTTCAAGTAAAAACCAACTAATGATTATGATAAATTACAAAACTAGTTAAAAAATGAAGAACTTCTTCACATAGATTCAAAATTGAGATTCATGCCATCGTTCTAACCACAACAATGAGACTGTTTTATTTTTATACCAATTACAAAAACAGAATTTTTAATTGTAAATATTTAGAGTCTAGAACACCTACGAAGTACATTAAAGAATGAGCAGAATGTATACCACGGTTGAAATACATAATATTCAAATATTGATGTTGTATAATGGGGAGCATGTAGATAATGTTTTGTTTTGTTTTGTTTTTTTGTTTTTTTCACATATTTTTAAAAAATAGAACTAAATGCATCATTGTAAGAAACAGAAAAAAGCACACTGTGATATTTTACCCGATTCAAAAATATATATTATCACGTGATTGGAATATTCGCATATGATTATTTTTGCAAGTCTGTTAGTGAGTATAAATTCCATAATAATGTCAATTGTAAACTTTTGTTATTTTTTAATTAGAATCAACAGCTTCAAAGATTATTGTGCATATTTTGGTCAACATAAACAAGTGGCAAATTTAAGATAAAAATTTACCTTGAAGTATGTGCTTAGTAATATTTGATGTTAGGATTATGTATATTACATGATTTCTTTGATATTTTTGCAATTATCAAAATCAATCACTTTTTGTTAGTGCATTTCAAAGATTTATTTATTTATTTAAATATCTACACTTCAATGATTTTCCAATGGCACATTATACATATTCAAGTAGAAAAATAAATACACACTAACAAGATTTCAAAGACTACAAGCTGTTTTGAAAAATTCCATAAAAGTTACAACATGTCTACAGGAAATATCTTCACTAAATCTATTTGAGGGTGTAGATTTTAAAGACTGTTAATAAATCAAACATACACCTTTTTCAGAGTAAGTCCAATCAAGAACTCACTATGAAGTTCTCTTTGAATAGACGAAATTACGCATGTGTTTTTAATATATATATATATATATATGTATATACATACACATATACTTTTGAGTGTGTGTATTAAGTCCACTTTATTTTTGCGGGTATTTGACTGCCAAATGTGTGGCACAAGACAGAGAACTGAACAAGGAGATATGACAGCACGTGTGCATCATTCTTCATTCAACTTGCACCCAATAATTACTGGTTCTTATTAGTTCCCATATCATTCTCACCTCCTCAACATCACCAATAGTTCCATTACCAACTAATCATCTTAATATTACTGCCAGTGCCTGATTAGTATCAGAAAACATACTACACATCTGACAGGAGACCCAGAAGTTAGTGAGTGCGAGCTGAGCAGTATCCAAATAGAGTAGTCTGTATTTTGGTCTTCTTTTAGCTTTTGTGGCGGTATCGGTTACATCTTTTATTCATGAATTGCTGTTCATATTGTTACAATTCAACAAAACTGTAATAATGGAGGTGACTGTTGTCAGCTTTTGTCACTGGTTTTTAAAGGAGCTGTTGCGTAGCCGTTTCCAAGTGGACCCACCTGCCGATTTATTGCACAGTGAAAATGTTGATCGCACAATTACGTTCACAGAAACTTACTTTGCTCTCGAGACTACTTTAATAACTCTAGTTATTTTACATATTAAATTCCATCCTTAAACATCAGTGCTACTTCTATGGTCTCCTTGTTGGATTGGTGATCTAGAAGTCGAAATACTCAGAAATGTGTGTGAAAGTTGGTAATCAGCTTCTTTTGATACTGACTAATCCCGTGCACGCCATCGCCGTGCCTGAATCAAGCTACCTCAATTGCATAGCGATCACTCACGGTCTAGGTTGGAGTATTGTGGTTCTCTACGATGCTAATGTGTCTCGTCGCAAGAAGCCAGGTAGCCTCGGAGGTGCGCACGACGCCTCGCATTGTGCCAAAACTTGCTTCCCGACTCGCAATTGGGAGTCGCTCGAGTGGTTGGTTTGTGTTCACGTACCATTCTGTGTAGAGTACGTGGTTGGTTCTCGGGCAGACGAGCTCCGTAGACACTGCGAGGCTGCCAAGTGACGCGTCCCAAAACCCATATCAGACTTGATTAACCGTGCGACATCATTTACAATTCATACCGACGAATTCATTGAGTAACTCGCTGGATGCAAAACTGGGAGCTCACCGTCAGTGACCCCTGGAATGAATTCCTGAAGCAGCCGAACTTCGACCACTTGCATTGTGTGGGTTGCTTCAGGGTAGATGCTGACATAAGAGAGGATCTCGAGCCATGACCAACTGCTGGTAGCAACGGCAGATCCGACGTTGCCACAACTATGAAGGACGACAACCCTAGGCAAATGACAAGCACCAGCAACAGCTGATAGCTCTTTCTGTCGCAAAACTCCCCCATCTGCAACACCCTGCTTCGCAACAGAATTAGCAAAGATGCAACACCATACTGCACGATTTGTAGACTAAAACCTACAGATCTCGCGGCGATCGGTCTGAACACATCGGGCCGAGGCAGAAGTGTGGGTTCACCGGCAGATGCGTAAGAGGAAAACTAAAACTGAATCAAACAAGTCACCACAAACTGATGGAGGTCGCAAGGGAGGATCCAACGCAGGAGCCGCGGGTTTGGTGATAGTCGAAAGGTGGGTATTGAAATGGCTGTAGGGCAAGAGTTCAGATTGCTGCGAGTAGCAACGTGTGGGTTTGACACCACATGGTGCAATTCGAGAATAGTAGGGGAGGCGAAGCTCCACTTGGGTCTCTGCATCGGTGCCAGCACCGCCAGGCCCGCTGCACGCCGACGCAAACTCGCAGACTTGGATGAGTCATCGTTGAATCTACACCGATTGTCGTCGAAGAGCCGGCACTCATCAATGTCCAGCCTGCTTAGATCGTTGAAAAACTTGGCCTGATCATCGGCCTGGAAAACCCTGGTCTCGCAAGCTTTGCCACTGTGTCGATCGTCACCGATCATCGACACGCTCACTTGTCGGTACTGCTTGTGCTTTTGCATAACATTTTTCATGGTCCACATATAATTCATAAGTTCTTTCTTGTCATAAATGAACAATGTCAGTTTTTGTTCACGCTGTATATCTTTAATGCGTGTTATAGTTTATGATTTTTTTCGTGGAGAAATAGTGCTCAGTAAGGTATGATTTTCACTTACTTCGAAACTTTGATGATTTTGGATGCTATTTATTTTTATTTTTTTGCTAATTCCTTCGAAGAAATGAAATCATTTTTACACTCATAGAATCTTGTAAAATCTAAGCTGTAATATGATTTAAGATCATAAATCTTAGAATAATCAATAAACTAATTGCAATCGATGAAATTATTCCAAATATTATGTAGTTGTTGACAATTTTTTTTAAAGTCTATATTGTTAGATCTTAAAGCAAACTAATAATCAAAAAATCTTGATCTCTAATCTAATTATAAAGGTATATCTTAAAATCTCCACCGGAGGTAAAATTGAAAGCATAATTGTGAGTTACAATTTGTATTTGATACGTATTATTAGGCTACTAGCCACATGTAGGTGGATTCTCACCATTTTAATTTTGGTACCATTTCAATGCTAGTGTTTGGACCTTTAGTTTAGAAACTATGGCCTGTTTTTGTGCCGGGTTAAACTGCAAACTTCTATTGGAAGCGTATGATTTGTAATCTCCTCCCTACACTTCTGTACCCATATATTCCATTTTAAGTTGACTCTAAGTATGTCTTAAAAGATATCACCATTCAACTGTATCAAAGCTACGAAGTTCTACAATGAGGTGTTTGAAATGTTGACACTTCCAAGCCTTTCTAACAATCCAAATCTAATTTTTGGCTATGAAGTGTATAAGATCAATAAAGCGTAGTGATTACAAAGTGTTGTTAATTGGGTCCGTAGAGTGCATGTTTAATTGATTCAATACCTCCTATTCTATATAGGCCACAATGTCCTTTATTGCATGTTTTTGCCATCGAAGCTCCAATAGGTAAGCCACGTGCTAGATGCAACCATTGCATTGTTACCAGCTTGCAGGAGATTCATGGATGCTAGACTTTTCTTATTAGCATTTTGCATTGTTGCATAGTGTAACATTGTCATTCTAAGACTTGTAGTTCTTTTACGAGGCTTTTGGTTTGGAGAAGGTCTACTCAGTATCTTCTTTTAGTGGAGTATTGATAGAAGTTCATTTGTTTTAAGATTCTTAGTCTCGGCCACTCCCATTCTTTGGAATCCCAATTAAGCTCATTTATACGTACCATTCCAAAGAACCAAAGTCTCTTATCTTTTGATAGTTCTATTTGGTTGTATTCCATGATCTCATTGATCCTTTCTATGGTTTATAATACTATGGCATGGTGAGGCATCTCATTCAAGAGTGGATGTAAGAATGAATCTTGTTTGAGTACTTCCTTTGTCTTGCTCACCCTGAAGATTAAGCAAAGTCATCTTGATTGTGATCTTATATACAATTGATAAACAAATTGTATGTTTGAAGTTATTGTTGTTGTTGTTATCTAGTCTCCTTTCTCTAGAGGTGTATCTATGGTTGGTGTCTAAAGAATGGCTTCTAATAGTACTAACCATTGCACATGGATTGATTGAGATCTTGTGATTGTCTTGATGTATGCTTCATTGTGCCATTGGCCATGTTATTGGTTGTAGACATTGTTTATTTTAAACATTCCTTTCTAAGTCCATATTAAGAATCTCAAGGTAGGTTCAATGCTAAAAGGTTCTCCAGAGCTTTGTTTGCTGAAGTAGTTTCCAAACAAAGGTTGTCTTAATATTTCTACTAGAGTAGAAGGGTTAATTTACTTAAGTTCCATCTTGATTGTTTTCTAGGCTTGAAAGATTGTTCTATATAGTAGTAAAAAACCTTGAGGAAGAGTACAGCCAGCTATAATCCAATGGATGTTACGGGGTGATCTTACTACTCTTGTTGGTTTTGCTCGATGAAGATAATATCTTACAAAAGATTTCCAAAGCTCAAATCTCAGCTTGAGGCTTTGTATGAAGATTTTTTTTTAATAAAGCATAGATTTGTAATTTGGTATCTAATACTTTTGTTCTTCCTTCTTCTAATATTTGTATGAGAATGTCAAAGACATGAACTACAAGAAGATGCATAAACTTGGAAAATCTATATTAAAAGAAAAGTGATAAATTAGCAATGAAGTAATATGTATATTAAAAAGAAACTGAAATGGCTATTGCCAAAAGACTAGGAAATTAAAAACTCTTAAATGTAGATTAGAACAAGAAAAAAGTTGATAAGAGTGAAGATGGCTTTATTCTTGTCTCTATATATACTATTTAATTAGGAGCTATGTTGCAATGTTCTATAGGACTTCTAATATGTGTTGACTTTGTAATTTACATTCCTTGGCTTACGAGATAAGTTTTCTATGTGTGGGCTACATAGTTAGCTTATTTTTCAAACTATCAACATGTGTAGTACATGGCCAACTTGTTGGCCACATTTCTAACCTAATAAGTCAATTATAGACACCTATAAAGTCAAAGTAACATCTATAAAGCTTCTAAAAAGCTTTTATAAAAGATATTATAGAATTAACCTATTTCTACTTACTTTTATTTAATCATATAGTAATTATTGGTTTACATGTGTATATTTGTGACATTACCCTCTCTTTTAGGAACGAGTTCCACAAAGGGCGATCTTCACATGTTGAAGAAATCCAAAATGCAATAAATTATATTTGTCACATATTTTAATCTTTATTTTTTTCAAAGATAGTTGATAGGCTCTCTCAACCATTGATAGTATTCCATACCAGGGCAAAAAAGCTACCATATTGTTTGGTCGTTGTTGAAGTCTTTGTAACTTCTTTCAAATAAAACATTTGAAATATCATAAGAAATTGTTTATATCTCTAATAAAATCATCAAACATTGGGAGTCTCTTCCAAGGTTGTGATATCAAATATGTTGTATCTTATCATCTATTTAAAGAAAGCCATGTTATTCTTGAGGATCGTCATCTTGATTTTATTGTCTTAAAGATTGTGACAATCGTAATGTCTTATTTAGTAAGTCCCCAAATGAAAGCTCTTCAGTTGAATCTACTGGTTGTTGGTTTTCCATCTCTTTGGCATTACAAATAAACAGAAGCTACAAAGAAAAATAGAACATAGAATATAATCTTCCTTGAATCTTGTTTCTTTTGTAGCAAAGATTTACTATTTTCAACTTAGTTTGGATGGATGTCAACGATGAAAAGCCTCCACTATCTTACCATATTTCTTAGATTCTTTACTGGCTCTCATATATATTTATTAATATCATATTTGCATCAATGGATAAGATATTTGAATTTATTTTAGTGTTACCTTGAATTTAGAACTTCTTCTACTTTAGACTCTCTATTATTGTCTACTTCTATAGGAGGAAGTCGAGCTTGTCTTCTTTTTGGTATGTTCATAGTCTTGTATGTTTTAAAAAGAGACATGTTAAAGATAGGATGGATCTTTATTATATCTACCATATTTATGGTAGATATAATTAATAAGCAATTAGATTGATTTGTCCACAAATAAGAAAAGATTCAAGTTTGCGGTAGTCCAACTTATCACAAGGATGAGTAGCCTTGATATTATGACAAAGCAACTATACCTTAGCACCTAAATTGAATTATGGTTGTTCTTTTTGATAGGCATCCACATTGATCTTTTGCCTTTTTTGAGCTTCTTTTAATTATACCTTCATTGTTGCATGTAGCTTTGATAAATAATTTGCCAAACTTACTGCCGTAGGATTATCAACTTTTAAAAAATTAAAAGTATCAAGTCATGGATGATAATCATAATTGGCAAAGAAACGTATTTATTATATAGAAAAATACATTGTATTATTATAAGCAAACTTTGCCAATGGCAAGAGGGTTCTCTAATTGTCTTATTGATAATTGATGGTACATCTTAAGTATTGCTCCAAAACTTCGTTTACATGCTTTGTTTGTTCATCAATTTCAAGATGAAAGACCAAAGAAAGCTTTATGTTTACTTTTCAAATCTTAAAAAGAATTCTCCAAAATCTTGATATAAATTCAGTCCCCCTATCTGATATAATATCTTTTGGCAATCCATGATATCAATAGATATTATTAAGAAAAAACTTGGCAGTTTCTTCACCTATAATAGATTTTGTGTATAGTACAAAATGTGTCTTTTTGATAAAATCATCTACTATCACAAATATAGAATCACACGATCCTAAGATTGAAAGATTCATAATAAAGTCCATAGAAATAGAAGACTATAGTTGTTCTAGAATAGTTAATGATTGAAGAAGTCCATAAGGTTGATATTGAGGAGTTTTTGACCTTGAATAAATATCACACAATTGAACAAAGTCTTTTACAGCCTTTTACATTTGCAGTCACCAAAAATTTCTAGATATTAGCTGCAAAGTCTTCTTGTATCTAAAATATCTTACTGTTGCAAAGTCATGACGTGCTTAAAAAACACATAAATGTGCTTTTCTTTTTGGCACATATAGGCGTCCTTCAAAATAAAGTAGGTTGTTCTTGAATTCAAACTTAGAAGTATGACGAGACTTAGAAGAAGTATTCTTGATATCATGAACAAGAAGATTAGAGGATTTAGTTGATTGAATTTGTTTGAAAAAAAATGAATCAACAGTCAATGTTGATTTCACTACTCGAAGATGAAATTGTTGTAGCTTCAATAAAATTATTTTTTGTTGAACAAAAGCTGCATTTTTTTC